TTTTCACTGGTTCTGTGTGGCCGAGTAGAATCTCTGGTGCTGGGTCTCTCCCTGTGCGGAATATGCCTCCTAAACATGACTGCTGGCTGCCTCACTGCTCACCCCCTAGCTGATCAGGCCTGAAGGGCTCAGGCTCTCGCCATGTCATGTCTGGCAACTCCATGCTGCTTCCGAACTCTCTCTCCCTCCCCCTGCCACTCAGTCCAGTTCCTCAGCTTTGCCTTAGATGTTCAGGGCTCCCAGATTGCCATATATAATTGATTCACTTGTTTTTTTGGGTCTTTGTTGTAAGAGGGTCCACCGGAAGCGTCTGACTACTCTGCCATCTTGGCCCTGCCTCCCCAGCATCTCCCTCTTGAGGCATGCTATTGGCTCTTAGGAGCTGGATGGGACCAGCCTTCAAGGCCACACAGTTAGGTTCTCAGTTTTGAACTGCCATTCTAATTAATAAACTGCCTAGTGATTTGACTTCTCAGATGGATTTTTCTACAAGAAGAGCAGGTAAGTCTGCTGCTAACTAGCATCTGATCTGCATGGCAATAGAAGTTCCTGCCTTAACTGAAGTCTGTGTTATACCTAAGTGCATTTAGTTGGTATGAGCCATTCTCCACTGAGATGGAGCCATCCAAGTGTGATACAAAATCAATTTTGAGGATCTGGGAAACTGAGCATTAGGCCCTGATCCCCAGTTTATCTCGGTTCTTTCCGTACTTGTCTATTGGCTGATATCTTATAATAGTCTCCTAACTAGTCTCCTTTCTTGTTTCCTTTCCCCCACCTTAAGTCTGTTCTCCCTTGTTAAATCCTTCCATTTTCTAAAGGATCAAGGCTAAGCTACTTAGTAGGGTTTACAAGGCTGACATTTTCTTTCACTATCTACCTTGGTGGCACGGTGGTTAAGCGTTTGGCTGCTAACCAAAATGTTGGCAGTTAGAATCCACCAGCTGCTCCTTGGAAACCCAATGGGAGCAGTTTTGAGCATTACAGGTAGAGTCACTTTGAGTTGGAATTGACTCGATGGCAATGGGTTTTGTACGTATCTTCTACCTCATGATTCTGACTCATGGTGACCCCATGTGTGTCAAAGCAGAACTGTGCTCTGTAGGGTTTTCAATGGCTATTTCTTCAGAACTAGATCACCAGGCCTTTCTTCTGAGGCACCTCTGGGTGGACTCAAACTGTGAACCTTTCAGTTAGCAGAAGAGAATTGAACCATCTGTATCACCCAGAGACTCCCCCTCTAGCCTTTCTCAGTCACATCACATCATGTTCCTGTGCCATTTGTTTGCAAATGTGATTGACTCTGCCTGAAATGACCTTGACCTCTTGTCAAATTGGTGAGCACCTTTTTAGCCTTTAAATCTTCACTTGGGTATCATCTTCACTTTCATTTATTAAACAAACAGTCATCAAAGACTTACTGTGTATGCCAAGAACTATGCTGGATGCAAGATAAGAGGGCTCACTATATGCCAGCACTGTGCTGGAGAATTTACAAGAATTATCTCATTTAATTCTCATGACAACCTATGGAATCATAACGGTCTACTTTCCCACATCCAAAAACTCTTAGGGGCCAGACATATTTCAGAATTTAGGGTTTTTCAGATTTTAGAACAACAACGGAGTTCATATATTATATATGACATTACACTCCCAGTGGGAGCATCTCATAATCCAGGATTGATATTTCTATAGCCTAATGTGTAAGTAGTTGCTCTAAGAGGGAAAAAAAAACTATCAATAGACAGTTCACATCAGTTTTCGCTGCCAGCTGAGTCCGAATGAGGTCAGATTTTGCTACAAAGTGAATTAGGACAAACCAAAAACTTTTGGTTTTATGTTTGGGATTTCAAAATGCAAATAAGTGACTGTGGATCTGTACGATGCTTAAAAAAATTTTTTTGTAGCCAGTTTTTTTTTTTTTATTATGGTGAAATTATCTATAATAAAACATTTGCCAAGCCAACAATTTTTACATTTACAACTCAGTGACACTGATTACGTTAATCGTGTTGTGCAAGCATCACCATCACTATCCGTTTCCAAAGTTTTCCATTATCATTAACAGAAACTCAGTGTACCTAAGCTATGACTTCCCCTTTCCACCTCCTTTTGGCCCCTGGGTGTTGTTGCTGTTGTGGTGGCGCAGTGGTTAAAAGCTCGGCTGTTAACCAAAAGGGTGGCAGTTTGAACTCACCCAGAGGCTCCGAGGGAGAAAGACCTGGCAATCTGCTCCTGTAAAGACTACAGCCTAGGAAACCTTATGGGACAGTTCTACTCTGTCACATGGGGTTGCTATGAGTCAAAAATCTACTCAACTGTACCTAACAACAACAACAAGTAACCAAACCTGTTGCTGTCGAGTGATTCCGAGTCATAGCGACCCTGTAGGACAGAGTAGAACTGCCCCATAGTGTTTCTAAGGAGCGCCTGGTGGATTCGAACTGCCGACCACTGCCCCACCAGGGCTCTTTTAACAACTAATAAACTTTGGTCTTTATACATTTGCCTATTCTAGATATTTCATATATGTGTCTTTTCGTGACTGACTTATTTCACTTAACATGATGTTTTCAAGGACTATGGTGTTTTACAGATGAAGAAAGTAAAGCTTGAAGAGGTTGGTTTTCTCGACACTTTGGGAAGCAAAGATTCAAACCCAGGCAATATGACTCCAGAACCTGGGTTTCAAATGTCTGTGCTATGTTCTTGCTCTCCAGAACTGCCTACCCTGATCCCTCTCATTGACAATGGCGCCCTCTTCAGACTCAGCACTGGGCTTCGTCCACCAGCCCTTACTACTGCTCTTGGTGTTCTGAGTGTCAATGGTTGCTGCATATGTCTTGCTTCCCTGCTAGACTGTGAGTTCCTTGAGGGCAGGGATTTTGTGTCCTGTATCCTTACTTTTCCAATTTCTGGGTCAGTTTAGCACCCTGTAAATATTTGCTGAATTGAACTATGAGCTTTACCCAGGAACCCAGGGAGAGAAGGTAATATAAGAGCCATGAGAAGCCACAAGGTAGTGAGTGCTCAACTTGTGTCTGAAACTGCACACTGTAGCATTAAAAAGTTTGCGGTGGAGGTTTTACACATTAGGCTGAACCTGGTAATTGTTTTCCAGTGTAACTAGCAATGGCACCCCCATCCTTTCTTCCTCACTGCACACTTCCCACCATACACACACACACACACATACACTCATCACACTTCCAGACTTCCAGCATGAAGAAAGTACCTCTTCGTAGAATTTCAGTCTGTTCAGAATATTCGACATATGTAGGAATTTGTTCCACAACGTACAGAGTGCCATTGCCAAGGCTGTGATTCGGCTCTACCTTCTTCAGATCCAGGACCATGTACTGATTGTTATAGGTGCCTGAAAGGTCAGGAGACAGAAAAGCAGGCTTTTTACTTGTTAACCCCAAATCTAAATTTACACACATGCCTAAAAGGTACTCTGGAGGGCCACTTACCAGAGTTGTATTTTGAAAAGGTCTCTGCCCACATCCTACCATCATTTGCCATCATGTTGGCTACACGGACTCTTTGCCAGGCCAGGAGAGACTGGGGTACCACTTGCTTTAGTAGAGTTTTGTTAAACACACTGTTTGTGGTCTGCAGCAATATCAAACCACTGCTAAGAATGTAAAAGTCATCCAGAGACTCCAGAAACCCTACAGGAAAGACAAACACACAAATAAGCATATGTATACACAGAATGTAGAACCATCATTAGTAGCACAGAGCTCTACATACACAGCACATTTTGCAAAAAGTATCACTTATTATTTTTCTTGATCTGCAGCAGCTGCTCCCAGCATTGGCTCAGCCCTGTGGCTGTGACCCAGCTGTTGCTTAGGGAGGTGCCCGTCGACCTCCACCCCTGGATTCTCCACCGAAAACTTCTGATTTATGATTTACAACGACAAAAATATACAACGTTTTCAATATACTAAATCAGGTCTTTTCCAAGTTTCCAAAATGAAAAACAGAAATAAATCCCTACTTGCTAGGATTTTGCAGGAGAACTTTTTATTATGGAGGGATATTAGCACAGTTGGCTAGTAAGAATATGAATGTCTTCTTTCATTTCATTCTACATTTTTTGTATTTTCCAAATTTTATATAATGAGTCTACATGCCATTGCACATCTATTCTGAGCCTAGAACGAGACAGGTAGGGTGGGATCAAATAAAGGGGTATCTGAAACCTAAAGATAAGACTTCATAGTACGAATTAAAAGGCAGAAGGCTTGCATTTTAGTTCCCTGCACTGCCACTGAATAACTTGGCAATTCTCTCTTTCTTACTCTGATAACATGGGGCAAGTGATGTCATTCAGCTCTGTCTAATTGTAATTTCTGAGTAGGAAAGTTACATGATGAGAACAGTGTCCAATGAACTCTTAGTGAACTTCCTCCAGGCTGCCGTTAGCCTGTAGAGAGGTCTGTGTGAGTTAGAAAAGTTGCATACTCTGGGAGGGTACAAGGCTTGGTCAGTGGATGGCACACTTGAATGAATTGTTAATGGGTATATGCCTCTTGTCAGACATATACACAAAAAGCCAAACCCATTGCGACTGATTCAATTCCGACTCACAGCAACCCTATAGGACAGGGTAGAACTGCCCCACAGAGTTTTCTAAGGCTGTAAATGTTTATGGAAACATACTGCCACATCTTTCTCCCGTGGAGCAGGCTGGTGAGTTCAAACTGCTGACCTTTCAGTTAGCAGCCAAGCACTCCCCCACTGTGCCAACAGGGCTCCTTGGTAGACATAGTCCAGACATAAGGCTGCATGGATTGGCAGAGTTCAGGATGGATTTCAATGATTATTCATTCACCTCTTAGGTTGGGACCCTTTTGCAGTGCTCAAACTGTACAACCTTACTTGGCAGTCTTGAGCAAGCTCTCTGGTGGCAAAATCCCCCTAGGATGTAATGCTATATTTCCGGCAGGGTACATTTGCTAATTCACTCCTTACTGTAGCAACCTCTATGGACACCAGGGGACAGGCTTTCTTCGGTATGTGTGAGTAAAAAACACTAACACGTTAGAAGTCATATTTCATTCACAAGCAAGCGTGCTAATTAAACAGACTGGGTGACAGAAAAATGCAAGCTACCTAGAGTTCGGGAACAAAGGATGAATTGGCCTGCAGAACGAAAGTCAAGGAGGCTGATTCTAAAGATTAGAGTTTGAGATAGCAAAGAAAGGTCTCAGGGCACACAGTCCTGACACATTGTATTTTAAGAGAAATAAGTATTCTTTGACTATGTAAAACTATATTCCTGTTCTCATCTGTCATTAGCAGCTTTGGAAGGCAGGCTATATATTTTAGTTGAGGAGAAAGTGATACACGTTAGTGTTTTATGAAAGACAGCCTGCTAATAACATTTCATAGTCCGCTTCTTGCTGAATTATTAATTCAGCTGATTATTGCTGAATTATTAATTAAGAAATAAAAGGGAAGTCTTTCAGTTAATAAATCATGTACCAAAACTTAAAAAAATTCTAATCACAAAAATAAAGTGATCACTCTCCTCTGATGCCATTTAAATCAATTGCTTAGTACAGTCCAGAGGGGTTTACTCCTATTATTCTATCAAGTGCATTTACAATATGCCCGTCTGCCCATCACATGTATTCACTTGCTCCAAAGCCCAGAGTATGAAGACCAAACACACCCTTCCTTCTGCAAGAGAAGAATCTGATAGGGAAGCACAGAGAACACTTAGAACTGTCAGCGCGTGATCAGTGTTGATCAAGGACATAAATAACACAAGTCAGGGTCAGTCCCTGAGTCATGACTGTAAAAATAGCCACGCTGCAATATTTTTACTCCTCTCTCTAGCCATACCCTTTGCCAGGTGACTGTGCAGCTCCTTCCATCAAGAGGTGTTATCTATTTCCCCACCTCTTAAATCTGGGCTGGATTTATAACTTGGCTCAGCTAACAGAGTGTGACAGAAGTGTCACTGTGTGAGTTCTGAGCCTGGGCCTCAAGAGACCTTGCATGTTTTTGCTCATTCTCTTGTAACCATGTAAACCTTATAAAGAAGCCAGTCTAGCCCTGCCTGTAGCATGAGAGACCACACAGAGGGGAGCCCAGTCATCTCAGCCAACGCCAGCCTGTAGCAGACCAACCCCTAATTATGTAAGAGACTTCATCCAAGGTCCCACAGCCCACCACAGACGCATGAGTGTGCCCAGTGGAGACATCTACCTTAGAAAGAACCACTTAGCTGACTTGTGGACTCAAAGGCAGTAATAATCACATATTGTTTTCAGCTACAAAGTTTGGGGGGTTATTTTTTCACTCAGCAATAAGGTGGTACGAATAGCTGAGTGCTCAGCTACTATCCGTGAGGTTGATAGTTCAAATCCACCCAGATGCACCTTGGAAGGAAAGCCCGGCGTTGTACTTCTCAAAGGTCATAGCCATTGAAAACCCTATGTGCACCTTTACTCTGACACACATGGGGTTACCATGAGTCAGAATCCACTCGATGGCAACTGGTTTGGTTTGTTTTTTTTTTTTTTGGTTATCTGATATAATAATAGTAATTCAATTATATAGTACATTTTGCCTTGAAATGTCTTGCTGCCATTTGATTTTAACAGAGATGGATGTGACACTTCGGTAACTCTTCTTTTTCTTTTTTTAAAAAAAAAGTAACACATTTGCAGCATACTCAGCCTTTCTGCTCAGCTTCTTCCCCCTGCTGAGGAGAGAGAGCATCACTTCTCAGATCTGTGGAAAGTACCCACAGGTACCGGGCTGTCTGATCTTTCTAAGTCAGTCATATAATCAGTCAATGAACGTTTATTAAACACCTACCATATGTCAGGCACTGTACAATAATTCCCAGTCCAGAGGTGATATTCAAGTTCCCTCAGGAGTTTTTTCACAAAGCACAAGCCCAGGCCCCTCTCTCTTCCCCGCTCTGCATCTCGACCAGAACCACGGCTGTGAGGTGGCTGCTTGCCACAGGAAGATCTTCTGGTTCCTCCGTGTAGGAAAAGGAAGCCTGTGAGTTCCTGGTTATTCCAGGATACAAAATCCTTCAGTCCCTTATTTTGCCAACTCCACAATGTATTCAGCCTTGGCACCTTCAAGAATGGCATTTATTTGCTTCTTTTCCTGCCCAGATCCTGACTGGTACCAATCAACCTGCTCTTCTCTCAATCATAATTCTCCAGTCAAACAAGTATTTACTGAGCACACTGTACCTAATGTTGCAACACGAATGTGGTCCATGGGGCGGGGGGGTGGGGGTCATGCCTCTTACATATTCAAGCACACCAAGCCTTCCTGTGGAGTCTGAATGCTCTGCAGGGGTCTCTTAAAGGTCACAGACAGAAAATATGAAGAACTGGGTTTGTACTTCAACCAACATTCTGTTGTTATCACCCACACCAAAACGGAATTTGTTCTTCTTCAATAATAAATAAATTATTTAATTTAGATATTATTTACTTATTTATTAATTTTCCATCACCCCCACAGCATGTTAGCTCCAAGAGGGCAGGGAATTTTTCTGTCTTATTCACTGGGGTATATCGAGCACCAAGAAAAGAGTTTGACACAAGTAGGTGCTCAATAAATATTGGTATAGACCAACAAAAAAATGGGATAGAGGCTCTGAAGAAATTATGCACAGGGTACTAAGGATTCTCCAAGGAGGGTTAGCTTACTCAGCCTGAAAGTTAATGTCATGGATTGAATTGTGTCTCCCAAAAAATGTGTGTAGCAACTTGGCTAGGTCATGATTCCTAGTATTGTACGATTGTGTTATCTGATGTGATTTCCTTATGTGTTGTAAACTCTACCACTATGATGAGATTATATGTGATCTCCTCATGTGTTGTAAATTCTATCACTGTGATGAGGTTATATTGATGAGGCTGACAAGATCAGTGTCTTGATGCAATCTCTTTCGAGATGTAAAAGAGAGAAGCAAGCAGAGACACATAGGAACCTTGTACCACCAAGAAAGCAGTGCCGGGAGCAGAGCGCATCCTTTGGACCTGAGGTTCCTGCGCAGAGAAGCTCCAAGACCAAAGGAAGACTGATGACACGGACCTTCCACCAGAGCCATTGGTGAAAGCGTTCCCCTGGAGCTGAAGCCCTGAATTGGACTTGTAGCTTACTGGACTGTGAGAGAATAAACTTCTCTTTGCTAAATCCATCCACTTGTGGTATTCCTGTTAGAGCAGCACCAGATGACTGAGACAGTTAAGGAGGTTTCTAAAGAACTCTTGTGATGCTTTTTGGTAATGTGGAAAGCATTTGGACAACATGTATTAATAGGCCAAAAAAAAAAAAAAATCATACCAAGGATGAGTATTCAAATAATGCAGCATGAAGAAATCAGGTAATTTCTTATACAGATAAAAATTATACTGTATAAGATTATTAAAAACAACTATTTGAAGGCACTAGAAATTGACCATAGGCAAGGAGAAACTGAACACCGCTACCAGCTTGGTAAAAATGTGAGTCCATGGCTTCCTTGCTTGAGTGTATTTACTAGCTCCCTCCTCCCAACTCTGGTTGTGGAAAACTGTAGCCATACTGGCTTGAGTTGACAGAAGTCAGACTTCAGTGTCACAGAACAGCTAGGAATCTAACAATCTAAGCTACTAGAACTGATAAATGAATTTAGAAAAGC